TTTATATATATACATATAATATATATATATATATATATATATAGTATACTTGTACTGAAATGTGTATCAATGTGCGAGTCTAATAGAATCGCATGCATATGCGTAAACTAAGTATACAATTAGCATACATGTTTTTAGGGTTAGCAACTTTCGTCAAACCCGTGGCGTAGAAGGTAGGTAGATACTGGGGGTTGGATGCTATGACTAACGTAGCCTTTCTAAATACGGATAAAGAAACCCCAAACAATCTTCAACTTGCAATGGGTGGCTTTGTGCACTACTCTCTACCACGAGGCGTCAGTGTTGGGCATTCAATTGCACCACACTCTCTTTGCCGTGTTGTGGGTTCTATAACTACCTTCATCGGCATGTTTACATCTTTTACTAGCGTGTTTATATTTACTCTCTTGTATGCGTACCTTATTTGGCATGTTTACATCATCAATCAGAGTATTTACCTTTACTCCCTCCATATCACCCCCTCGCCCACTCTGCGTGACCACTTTCTACTGTCTCCAACATAGACATCATCACTCACGGGATCGCTTGTAATGCAATCCTTTCCCGCGCAGTGTTGGTGAGTTTGTGGGCGCAGGCCGCATAGGGCTACAGGCGATGCGAGATAACAAGCACCGACTGGATGTGGTACAGGCCATGTGCAGGTGGTGATCGAATGCCTGTAGTAGTGTCAGTGTCTTGGAGTATCTGCTATATGTGTCCGCTCGTGTGAGGCCAGATGTAGGTGGGTCCAGGACTGATAACTGTAATTGTTTTGTATAATATTTGGTATTCTTTTTTTTGAATTCTGTACATGCGAGATCATCTGCAGTTGAAAAGTGGTTTGAGGTACATTTAAAACTTGTTCCAGTGTCTGGCTTCCATACGTTACAGTGTGGATTTGCCCGGACTTGTACATGCGAGGCCATGAGCAGGTGAAAAGTGGTCTGATAAACTTGGACCAGATTATGATACTGTCTGTCATTCACCATATCCGCGGTTATGTATGCCTACCCATGATTACTGCTGTATGCCTACCCATGATTACTGCACACGTGAGCTCATATGCGGACTGTTGAACAGTTGTAGTAGTATCAGCAGTACACCCGCGATTTTGTTCCAGTGCCTATGCTTCTCGGGTTTGGTATAGTTGCGACTCTGCATGCGACCGACGCTAATTGAACACCCTTGTACTTGTTAGCACTTATAACTCGTGTACCGAACTGTGCGCAACGGAAGACTGCAGTGGAGACCACACAGTAGAATGGACTGCGAAATGGCTTATAAAGTGGCTGTGTTATTACACTCATTAGCTGTCTAAGTTGTAGGTACGGTATCTAATGTCTAGGTGGTATGTATGAAGTCTGGGGGAACTCCGTTTCAACACCATTCACAAATCCATGTTATTTGGTGACGGGTGCGGTTACTACCGTTAAGGCGTTAGATACCGAACTGTATGCATCCGTCTATCTGCGTGCATGTTATAACTTAACCCACACTAACACCAGATTATTACTGTGCGCATACATTAACAGATACTGCGAAGAGAAGCAGTGCGATGGTTCTGTGGGCTATGGATCTCATCCTGATACGGATGGACACGTGACACTGGACGCTATGGTTATGGATGGGCCAGGCGTGAGAGTAGGTAGTGTGGGTGCCCTGTACGGCGTCCGAAACGCCATTGGGGTTGCAAGGTGTGTCGATACAAGAATATATATATATATATGTATATATATATATATACGCATGTATATATACGAATGTATATAACCGTATGTATATATACGTATGTATGCACAGATTTGGCTATTGACTATATAAATGTATACACGGATTGTATCACAGGCTAATTTGTATACACATATGTATGTACTGAATCATCGTACACGTAGATAGTAAAGTTCTATTAACGAGTCTGGAACGGTGCAAAGAATTCAATACCTACCGCGTACTTTTGGATTCGCAAATTGGAAACGAACCCTGACAGGTGGAAGCTTAGCGAATCTTCCCCTTAGCAACTAAGCAGCTACAACTAGGTTGTTGTGGTGTCTCTAATGAAGACACTTATACTCTAGCTTCCTTATGATGTGTATAGTTCTACCACTGTCCATCTCTATACGTGCATTCTCGTCGATATAAAATCTGCATTGTGGCATAGATTGTACGAGTGCATCTTTGTTTGACACAGACATTCTTGTTTCCTTGTTTTCATGGGTAGGCTGCAGCCATTCGTCATAGATAATAAATTATGTAGTATACAATTTTACTCACTACTTACGCATATAAATATACATATATATATATATATATATATATATATAGATCTTAGGTAGTTTAACGGTAGAACTTTGAGCTGTTAACTCAAACAATGTAGGTTCAAATTTTACCCTAAGAGATTAGTGATTACACTTTTAGCGGATGAAGCTCCCTAGCTTTTTAAGTGCGGGAGTTTAACTGACAATACTAGGTAGTAACAACTATTTACCTTTTCTAAGAGCATGTTTTAGGTGTATGTATATAGCTCCAACTATAGGTATAACTATGGCTCTAATTGTAAATATAAGTCTATATATATATATATATGTGTGTGTGTGTGTGTGTGTGTGTGTGTGTGTGTATATATGTGTATATATATATATTTATATGTATATATATATATATATATATATATATATATATATATATATATATATATAAACATATACATATACATATATATATATATATATATACATATACATATACATATATATATATTTATATATATATATATATATATATATATATATATATATATATATATATATATATATATATATATATTATCTCTGTGTATTCATACCTGTCTATACGTACACACCCTTCAGGGCAGTCATGGAGCACACTAGGCACTCTTTACTTGTGGGGTCGGGCGCCAAAAGGTTCGCGCGAATGATGGGTTTTGAAAAAAAGTCAACAGGTAGGCTTAAGTATATTATATGACTCAATGAATATACTTCTCTGTATTTATATCGTATAAGGTTGTATTTTGGGGCTATAATATAGAAAGTGACGCTATTGCCATTCATATTAGATGTAAAAATTCTAATATACTACTTCGATGTAAACGTCTTGTATCTCTAATATATAGAATGTCCGCTAAGGATACACTAAAGAGACTTACAATGTTGTATGAAACAGTGTGCTCGAATGAATACATGATTTAAGTGCTGTATGTGCTACCCTCATATGCGTACGATTCACTGAACGTTTTCCAGCCCGTCACCATACAGAGCCATTTAGTTTACCCGCGACTTCTCTCTAACACATACGCTACGCCTCGCTTGTTTGCTTGCCACAGAGACTTCGGCGTCTACGGGTCAGTTCCTCGACTGGATGGACAAGCGGTGTCAACCCAACTTCTACATCAATATGCAGGGTGAGTCCTTAATACAGAAAAACGAATCAAGAACCAGTGCACAAAAGCCTTGGATTCATATCATGCGAGGGTCAAGACTTGGATACATTCATGGGTTTAACACCAGCTTAGAGTCACTCGAGATTCCGGAAATCACGCATCGGCCTGGTACAGATTGTTGACGTGCTTGTGTCGACATGCCCACTGTCTACTATATTTACGCATACTCATACGAGGGCGCACTACCGGACTAATAATGCGCTTTTCCACGCACCTGCACTACACTAACTAATACACTATTTCATACGCACACGCACATGCACACGCACTTGACAAGTACTAGATGACGCAGGTATGGCACCGAAGGGTTCATCTGGGTCATATATACGCAACCGGCCATCTGCTAGTAGTGTGGAGCACTAACAGATACATTATTTCATACGCACACGCACATGCACACATACGCACTTGATAACCACTAGGTAACGCACAGCAATGGTCGTGTGGGCCATACACACCCAACCAGCCATCTGCAAATAGTCTAGAGCAAATACTGAGTATCGTGGCGACTGACCTGACTGTGGCAGAGGATAAACCAGAAGAGACGCGTGATGTGGCGGTTTCCGGACACGATACGATAGCTGCTGTATGTAGATGAGAAGTGCACGCGTACACACGCACAAGAGTACTGCGTTCCGTTAATGCACGGCTTCGTGGGATCTCCGGTGTTGTTAGTGCATTCCGAGGAGCTGGCGGTACCTTCCGTTTTTGTACATGAATTTAGCAACACGTTCTTCCTTTGTCCTTCTGTACCTACACATGGGCACATGCTTTGTCTGCAAAGCATCTGATCTGCCGCACCCTCGTAGCATAACATTGGTAGTTTCAGCCATATAATTTATTAGTAGTTTTGGTAGCATTTGCCATATAACTCATTGGTTGCTTTAGCCATTTAACTTATTGGTAGCTTTTTCCATATATCTTGTTGGCAGCTTTTTCTAATACTAAAATATTGGTAACTTTAGTCAGATAATAGATTGGTAGCTTTAGCCATCTAACTTTGGTAGCTTTAGTCATATATCATATTGATAGATTTCGCATATAAATCACTGGTAGCGTTAGTCAGAGAACGTGTTGGTAGCTTTAGCCATGTAACATATTGATAGCTTTAGCATAAACATATTGGTGGCTTTAGCCATATAACATATTGGTAGCTTTAGCATATACCATTGTGGTAGGGTTCTATATCTGAAATATCTGGAATATTCACCATCGTATTGTGTTGTATCTATATACAGATCACCTTGGATGCTGAGGGCCATCTCGCGTGCGCAACAACGACCAATGGTCCAGGGCATAAGGTGGCTGGTCGTGTGGGGGATTCGCCTATTGCTGGCTCGGGTTGCTATGTAGAGGAGGGCGCCGGTATGTCTAACGCGAACGTATGAGACGATTGGATGTAGTTGCGATGGTAAATCCATCGCGTGTCTGTAATTTTTTTGGGTGTGTGTGTATGGTTGTCAGTCCGGGGGTGTGTGAGATGAGCAAGAGCAAATAGGTGGCTGTGTAGAAGGGTGCGCTGGTGTGTCGTACGTGAACGTATGCGGGGATGAGTTATAACCAAATTGCAATGGTTGCAACTGAATGCAAACATATCGCGTGTCTGTGATTGTATGTATCTGGGTACCTGTCGTGTACGAGATGAGCAAACTGCTTCGGGTTTCTATGTAGAAGCCGGCGCTGTACGTCCTACTCGGACGCGTGTGATTTTTGGTTGCTATCTGAATAGAGTGCGTTCCCGTATCTTGTATGTTTTAGGGTCTAGGGTTCGAAATCGAGTTTTAATGTTTTAGCTAAAACCCTATATCGGCCAAGAGGTGGCAGGGAGTGCCAGATATTTGTTAGGTGCTGGTTTGGTATGCTGTATATGCGAGGGTGTTGATATAATAAGTGATTACTATCGCCTGCGGGCACACCTGCAACCGTGGATGTGGATGTAGTATGAACTCAGAATTGAGAAAGTATTTGGTCCCATATTTGTCCCAGTTTTTGAAACTTCTGAGTATGTGCCTGTGTAGGTGGTGCAGGGGCGACGGGTGATGGCGATGTCATGTTGCGCTTCCTGCCCAGTTTTCATGCGGTACAGTTAATGAAACACGGAGCGTCACCCACTGAGGCATGTGAACAGGCTTTGAAGAAAATTGGCCATGTATATCCGGACTTTAGTGGTATGTAGAAATTATTTTCTCGAACTCCTGTGGTCGTTCGCACTGCTATCTATTGAGTGTTGTGTTTCAGCCTTTTAGCTATTGGTTCAATTTGCGGTTATGCTTTTGATCGTTTGATGCTCAGATCAACAATCGAATGACAGGGTGAGTCGGAGTTCTATAGAAATTCACTGCCGAAAAATGCAAAGGTCGACATTATTTTCATGTGTATTTATCTAGACACACATCCGCTTGTCATAAACATGCTTGCCGTTGGATGTTTATGAATACAACAAAATCAGTAGGTTGTTCACCAATAGATACTTCAATCGCTACAACCACACACTTGTTTAACGATACATCATATACAATATTTGGCGGATAAAACTATGACGAAAGTAGTTTGTTCACATATAGAGTAGTTTGCTCGCCACACTTGCAATAGATTACATGACTTTTTCACGACAGATACAAATTCAATAGTTTGTTAATTAGTAATTGTTTCTCGTACGTTGAAACAGCATCCGGTGTAGTTTCAGTAGCGTTCGGTGTAAAATCTCATTATAAGTGTTTTCATATCTTTTTGTTTTATGTCTTTTTGTGGTGGTATGTCTTTATGGTATCCTAAACAAATGATTGTTTGGCGTGAGTTTTATCATCACTATTGACCAAATTTGGCATTTTCCATCTGTGGAAGAATCGCTGGTATAGTTATGGCCTCGATCGATGATCCTACTTTGTCTATCCCTCTCGATTCTAAGGCACAGAAATGTGTGGCAGTACATAAGCGTTTAAAAATCATGAATAGTATGATACGTCCGAGCTCCAGATCTAGATCATGTTCGATACCGACAAACACTTTACTGACGCCATCATTGACTTACATCTGGACAGGTGGCATGGTCTGTGTCAACAAACAAGGTGAAATAGGCGCTGCTTCGCACAACATGAATTTTCAGTACACAACCGCAACCCTTGGCGATGAGGACCCCACGGTCGTTCATGTACCAAACCTATTGTCGGCCATGGAGCTCTTAGAGGCACACTGAAACAGCTAGCAATCAATCGGAGGTAGGTTTATATATAAGATGCCAGTCGAAGTAGTGGTGGGTAATACGACTCAAAACTATGTCAGAGAAGGTTTCAAAGATACAAAATAGGTTAGGATGTGTGTTTTACGGGGTGTAGCTGTAACACTCGATGTGTCTACCTGGCAAAGCATATAAAGTTAGAATTAATGAAATCAGTCTGAAACCTCACTTTTGCCTGAAACCCCATCTTCGTTTATTTCTATCTGTAGTACATTTGATATATTTCGATATTTTATTATAATACATATAAAATATGTACTTTACACCTAAAATTTACATATATATTATGTACTATTGTGCTTATTTATGAGATATTGTATTAGGTGCTTCGGAAATATTGCTATGAGCCTACGAAGTACCTATATTTACGCGAGAACATTTTTGTAGCCTCGTGAACATACTGCACTTCTATTGAATGGCAAACCTATATTGGATTCTGGCGACCTTGTTTTGGCAAACCTATATTGGATTCTGGCGACCTTGTTTTGGCAAACCTATATTGGATTCTGGCGACCTTGTTTTGATTCTTCCATTAGTTAAGGACAATTATTCAGCCTCAACAATAGTAATCGAAGTCGCTTACGCTTACAATTAGTAGATTGTGTAGTTTATATTTGGGAACACTTGAAAAGTGTAAATAACAGTCAGTTGGCCTCTCCGGCATTCACGCAACTTTGAAAGCTTAACTGTACTGAGTAACTGTTCTTGAACAGCGAAGTTGGTGGCATGCTTAGAACAACACTTTCTTTTATTAACTAAATTTAGTCATGGCTATTTCTTTATGTACAGCTTGATTCAGCCACACAAAGTCTGCGGATCTTCGGCACGCCTTAACAAATGTTTCATTGAAATTCTATAGTTCCGTAGAAAAGTTGCAAAAGTTCATACTCTTTAGAAGATAAAGTTTTCATGGATGTTGGCCTTCTATTCAAAACAAATAATTAAAGTCGTTACCATTCGGTGTGGCGCATGTATCAAATCATTGTGCGCAAGTTCTGAAAGATGAACGAGACGATGGCACGAATACCAGCTTCAGCTGCACGACTTTGCGTATTGTGAATCTATATCCTGGTGAATCTATATCCTGGAGTCATTTGGCGCATGGTATTCATGCTTTGCAAACTTTTGATTGCACAGTCGTAGCTACGGTATAAACCGATTTTGCTCTTGCGGTCTAGCTGTCCTTTTGGGTAAAATTTGTCAGCATACTGAATATTGCTAGGTTGTGGATAATAAATCAATGGCTATTCCTTGTAAGTGAAGCGCTTCAGGAGTTCTGACTTTCAATCTCCAACCTTCCGGAAGACATGCTTGTCTATTTGGTTTAGTATTTGAGGACTGAACAATACTCGAGGATAAAATTTTACCTCGAGGACGTGAAGCGTATTGCCTCTTTTCAGGTATCAGTAGTGTCCAATATCAGCATGGCGAATGCGCGAGAGAACAAAACAAAAAATCGGGTAAATAACGAAGGTTCTCTACGACTATGAGTTAAAGTCTTCTTGAGCCAACCTATCCAAACATTAAATAAAGCGATACGTATGCAGACCCATTGTTATAATTTGACTTTAAAATATATGAAACTAGACAACCAAGATGTCTTAGGTCTCTTGATGACAACAGCTACTTTTTTTGTGCTTTGTTAGTTAAAATCTATATCAAGTTGATGCGGTATAGCCCTTCGTGCTTACAAAACAAATTATTTTTATCTTGTTGTCCGCACTTGCCGTGGCTCCATTTTTGATTATATAGCAGTGCATAGCGATGATTTTTTTATTTGTGAATAAGGGAGAAAATCGCTTTGATTGATCAATTATGCGTGAACGCAAATGAGTCGCTTGCTAAATATCATGAAGATGCACGAATTCACGATCCTATGTAAAACGCCATACTACATGAGCCCCTAATATTAAAATCTGCAAATGGAAGTTGTATATTAAACAAAATGTAGCAGAAATCAAGACAATTCTATATTCGATCGAAATGACCATCTAAATTTTTACGCGTTGCACAAAGTTACCTGATTTCAAAAGCGATGCAGCTACAAGTCAAATAGATGAACCAATTCACATTGCCTAAGTATATGAAAATACCCAATCGCGAGCTTGAAATCGAAGCCACAAACAAATTAGTCGCAGCACTAAAGAACGAATACTCAAAGAATCCGCAAAGAAACGTCTGCATGGAGAAAACCGATGATCAAAGTAAGTCATCGGCTGCTGGTCAGATAGAAAGACCGCAACTATACCGAAGTGATAAATTTGGAGGAAATACTCTAAAATGTATATATATATGGCCTACATGAGAAAGTCACTAAATGCACGTACAGATTTACGGGTACGTTTTCTAATAACCCAATTAAATTCGCTAAATGGGATATTCATTGCCTTTATCAAACCTTTTCAAATAAAGTTTAAAAAGTAAATTTTAATAAAAGTATAATAGATATATGCAATTTCATATAGGGATAATATTATTTATTTCAAAACAATTGTAAAAGATTACCAGAATGGGTTTAACATGATTGAAGATTGTCACCAGATATGCGATGTTCGAAAAGTAATAGCCGGGCCTCCACATTAGACTCTTTTGTTATAAACGTACTCTTAAGTAGTACGTAAACTATAACGTACTCTTAATAGTACAAGGAACTTAAGTTTCCTAAATGGTTTTTAACGGTTTTATTAATTAGTACCTTTTCCATTTTACATATCAGATATTTGGACAAGGCCATTAAAAGGCCCCAGTAAAATACCAAATATAAGATTTGGTCTAGTTCTATTAATAAAACAATATTTACTTTCCAAATCTATTTATATCTGATTACTTCGGTAGCGAGATGGCTCAACCGAATATAGGTTTCTAGGGACTATTAACGTTACCTAGTTGATCCTCCGATCAGCCAACCAGATATGCCAGTCTGATGAAGGCTAAGTCGGTAATTCTTGATAGTGGCAAGTTATTGGTTAAGACAATAACTAAGGACGTCTAGATTATTTTTCTTCTTTACATTTTTTTTCTAAAGATAGAATTTTATGAGTCTCTCGGATTCGCCCCAGTGAAACATACAATAGTTTCTAATAGAGCGACAACGAAACACAATATAAAATCCCTTCGGCGGAAAGGGATTATATATAGGCAATGT